TGCTGGCTGTCAGCAGAGTCCCGAGGCTGTTGGCCAGTGGAGAGGGGCAGTGGTCGAGCCAAGGGGCTGGAGCGTGGTTTGGAAATTGGGGCTGGGACCCCAGCAGAGCCATGCAGGCCACACAGTTACAAGGTCAAGTGAGCAGTGCTAGGTCCTCTCCTCTTTGAAAAATCTTTAATTGGTACCCCAGAAAAATCCAAATTGTGTTGTTGAAAATGTTTGGGTTTTTTTTGTAATAAAAATAGATTAGTTCCTAATTTTACATTTAAATTTTAAATTTAACATTTAAGGAGAAAAAAAAATCCCTGGCCTGCTTGCTCTATCAACATCTTCCCACTGAATAAATTCTGCCATTGTAACTTGCCCACACCCAGGATATCAGTGCTGTCTCTTTGGCCGGTGTTAATGAAGCATGCAATTAAATTATGTACAATGATGCACAGGCTCCAAAGCAATTAATCAGCAGAGGAGATACGGACAGTGAACTGAGTCCCCAAAGTGTATTTATACCAGCCCCTAGAACTGACACAGAGCTGTCAGTTGTTGCTTGCATTTGTTGCTTTTAAAGGTATGGAAACGTTAGGCAGGAAAAGCTCCTGTTTGCTTCTGAGTGCTCTGAGGCTGGATGAGAAGAGTGGAGTTTGTAAATAAACTGCTGGTAATGGCTCTTGATTAGCAGGGTGTCCTCTGCCAAAACAAGAAACAAGCAGCATCATCTTCACCTCTCTGGAGCATTTCCCACCCTGGGGAACGCTGCTGTACCTCTTGGTCCAAGTGCACACGCAGGCGTCGGCACAGAGGAAGGGTTTCCCAAAGCTGCGTGGTGCTGAGGAGGCAGGGAGTAAAACAGGTCACTGAGGTAACAGCACCACGTCCTCTGGCTGTCCTGCAGCAAGGTACACGCTTGTCTCGTGCCCGCTGTCCTTCAGCACAGCCCATACCCCGTGGGGAGCTGCTGTGCACACCCCAGTGCTGGTTTTTATTGCTACCCAAGCTTGTTTTAAACAGTAAAGGCCAACGTGAGAGTGGAATCATGGTGTTTTTCCACTGAGGGCGTTTGGACCAGTTTTTGGGGATGGAAAGTTTTGAGGATGTGGGTGATCTCGTGTTTTCTTGACATCAGTGGTCTCCCAGCTGGGTCAGTTTTCAGAGCATCTCCCATTTTTCTCGTGAAGGTTAATTGCGTTTTAGATGCTTCTGGCCACATGAAAACTAAAGATGCAGCAATTTCTGACCTCAGTATTGTATAAAGAGGGGGAATCAACTTTCCGTGGCTACCACCCCGTGGCATCTGCACAGGAGGCACGTACACTGGATTTATGTGTATCCACCGTCTCGGAGCAGGATCCAAGAGGCGCCGCTCCACGTCGAAAGGAAATCACAGCTTATAATATTCAACTGGTTACTATAACCCCCACCCACCCCACGTTTAATATTAGAACTATTTTTCACGTTGAAACCGAAATAGTACAAAATATGGGCTTGCTGTAATTGTTGTTAGATTATGTGTCACCCTGATAAGATGTAACAAATATTTTCCTACACAGCAGGGCCCGTTTCCCTGCGAGTAATGGATGGAGAAACTTCTCATAGTGTGCAGGCAATCGGTCGTAAAAACTTCGCTTGGAAGATTAATGCATTAAGTGCAACCTTTGCGGGAAATGGGAAGAAAAGAATTAAAATAATAGCTTGTTCTTTCACATTTAATATTAATAACCAAACTTATTTGGTGAGAATGTTCCTTGCTGCATGTGCCTTCCCCCTTTAAGGGGCAGCTTTGTGTCAAATTTCTAATTTTTTAAAGATCCTTCAGCAGCAGCTCTTGCATAGGGTGCAGTGATTCTTTCAACAGAACTATTTTTATCAGTAATATGAAAGACAATTTTCCTGGGCAAAGCTTTGACACCAATAAGTCTGCTGGACGTCACTTAATAGGCTAGATAAACATTCGCTCACCATTTAGCGTAGAAGGATTTTCCCTTTATATCACAGCTTGACGTCTTTTGTAGACACTTAATGGCCGTTAGGGACGGCACCCTCCACAGAGAGCTCTCCAGATGGGTGCGCAGGCAGGGACGAGGCAGGGGCTCGCTTGCTGCTGCGGGAACACCTACGTGCAGAAGGGAAAAGCAAGGCCCTGCTTGTCACGAGCTGATCTGAGCCAAGCCAAGCTGAGCCCTTCAACAGCCGAACGGAGGGCTCAGGAGGAGCACGTCGCTGGGGAACAACAGTCCCTCCTGAGCGCGCACCGCACCTGGTTCTGCTGTTGCCCATGAGAAGGGTTCTTGGTCCTTTGGGGATTGTTCGGTACCAGCCGCCGCTGTGACACAGGCTGCAGCTACGTGGCAGATGTAAGGATGGTCTGACATGATGAAGTAATGATTATTTTTTCTTAAATTGCTCAAGCTTTGGGAAAAGCGCCAATTTGGACTGATTGCTGCTGCTTCTCCCCCCATGTGTATTTTGAGATCTTGTTTTCTTCCTAAAGCACTCTTCTGTATCTGCAGTCAGTCTCCAGTGACAGGTACCATCAGTCATGAAGCCAGCTATGAAACTAGGGGCGATGGCAGTGCTTATTTTCAGCATGTGACACACAGTTCACTTCTTCCTAGGTCTTTGCTCACCATCTGAGGTCTGGCAGGCCATCCAGCTTGAGTTTTACAGAGGATCACTCGTTTTACTACTTGTGAGAAGAGGTGTTTCTTCCTAGTTTTACAGGGCTTGAATTTCTGTAACACACATTTTGTAAGCAAAGGAATAATTGGTTTGCCACAGCGAAAGCCAAGAGTTTCTGTTCTCTCCTGCCAGTGGCAGGCAGCAGGAACGGTGGACTTAAGGCTTCAGTATTCCAGAGGTACCACCCCTCGCTGCCACAGTTGGTCTTTTGCTGCTGTGTGAACAGAATTGAATTTATCAGTAAAAATCCAATGGCATCAAATGTTGACTGGGACTTTGAACAGGTCTGGCATTCAGAATTATTTAGGGCTTATTCAAGCTTCTTTCTAAATTGATCAGTCAGATATTTCAGAAAACGGTATTTTTATTCTTAAATATAATAATCTTTCGCTACATTCATCATTGCCAAGGACTTTCAAACGGCAACAGGAAAAAAAAAGGTTCAATTTTGAGCACGCAGCAGCTTAATTCGCTGTGTCTCTTTCCACCGTGCCATAGCACTAAAGCAGAACATGCCCTCCTGCCACAGTAAAAAGAGATTTCTAGAGGCGCTGTGAAAATTAGTCTGAAGGTATAATTGCAATCTTTACTCATTTGGAGTCAGTAAGAGAGAGGGTTTTTAGGTTTGAAAGCAGGATTGCTCCTTGGCTAAAAATATTCAGATCAACCCAAAATCATTCATTAAATATCTCTGTCACTACTGTTTAGTTGTAGATGTAGAGAAAGGAGTAGATAGATTATTTAAAGCACAAAAGCTAATTAGGGTTGGCTGACAGAGTACTGAATTCTACTTTGAAGAATGAGACAGGTTTTTAGATGACTGAGATGGTAGAATGTGATCAAAACATTATTAAATCGAAACCATCCAGCCTCCTTCCAGCTCTGCTTCCCCCCCACCCCACCCCAGCGGTCTCAGCTGTCCAGTCCACATTTTTTGGAGCTGAAAAATCATTAGCAATTTCCACTCACAGCACTTCAGCACAAGGAAGAAACAAGCCTCTAGAGCATACCGGGGTGAGGACAGAGGTTTTTAGCAGCTGGGCTCCTTCCCCAAAAAGATGATGACTGAGCTTACACATCAGTTCAGAAGTCAGAATTCTAGAATTTAACAAGGAAGCTTTGTTAAATTTGATACAGAGCAATTAAGCCATGTAAATGTAGTTTATATAAACACACATGCTATGGTTCTGTGGTCATTTTAGCTTCTTCTCTGACGACCAGCAACTCTTAAAAGAAAAGCTCTTAGGAAAGTGAAATGATTAACAGAGGTGCTTTTCATCTTTGGGAAAAAAAGAAAAAAGAAAAAAGAAGAAAAGGCAATTGCCAGAGTCTGCCTGATGTGATACTGCTGAGATCTTCCCAGTGTGAGGAACCGATGATTTTCTGTGAAGGATTCGTGGAAGGCTTAGTAGCTGTGTGTTTGGTACTTGTCAGAAAGCTTCTAATTTAGGAATAAGAATTAAAATTTTTGATGAGCTAAAAGAATTAATTGAAAACTTATCTTCTCTACTTCGCAGCTGCTAAAAAGGGTATTTAAAACTCCTGTGACAAGTTGTTATTTCCTCCCTTGCAAACCCTGCCCGAAGAACTACATGAAGTGTTTGAAACCACTAAAGGTTCTAATAAGGAATGTGAGATTACTCTATAAAGCTGCTAATTTTTTCCTAGCTCATCCATTTACACAGTTACATAGATTTGTGTTTCCATGTTGCAAGGATCTTACTCTTTACATCATCTGTCCTCAGAGTGCTGAAGCTGTGGAGTGTCCATGCTTTACCAAACAAGGGAGCATACTCTGTGAACAAGAGACCACAGCTAAGTTCATATGAAGTCTGTGCAGAGCAGGATGTCAAACCTTAATTATTGGGCTATTCTTTTCACTATCATGCTGCTAACTCCCATTTTTGTGCATTAATTTTCACTCATTTTTAGTTTGCAATTTCATTCTGATGCTGGGTGATCAAGACAGTGGGGACAGAACATAGTGGGAAAAATAGCTAACCATGACAGAAAGCAATTTTTATTTAATCTGCTTTAAGAAAACTCAAAGAAAGGAGAAGTTACTCTGGAAGAATGGCTTTACATACGACTAAGATAATTACTATTACGTATTTCTGCCTTCTCCAAAGAAGTCTTCAGAAAATACAAAACAGGACCCACAAAAAGGTAAACACTTTAAAAAGGTACCATTACTACTTCTTTCCTTTGCTATAGGTCTATTTTTGCGTTGCAAATCCATTTTACTCATAGTTGGCTTTGTTAATTCCAACTTATTTTGACTGTTTCTGTAGGCAGCTCAACACTCAGGGCAAACACACACGAGCTTCCAATATTCTTGAAATATTTTATTATAAAGCACTTCAGACAAACTTTGATTCAAAAAAAAGTTCTCATCTGTAAAAGGAAACTATTTTAAAACAACATTCATAAAGAAAATAGACTGTTTTTAAGTATCAACTTCAGTTAGAGCTCTTCTGTAATGAAATCTAAAGACAAAACCGATGGGTCGGGAGTTATTCATTCATATATACTCATAAAAGGGAGACTACACTGTTACACAGACATCATGGAACACCTCACTGTTGATGATGAAATAGGAGCACATAATAGTTAATTGTGGCCTGACAAAGCAGTCCAACATTTAAATATTTTTCAGTCCCAAAAGAGACAAACCATTAACACTTCTCATTCAGTAATTAAGCCAGCCCTGGCTAAGGTTTAAAGCCACTTGGAAGCATCTAATATGATAAGCTTTTCATTTCATGTACTTCTCCTGTTGATCAGCCAAGATTTTTGCTGAGGATTTGGCATCATAGAAAAGTTCATTTATTTCTTCAATATGCTCTTTCTCAATGCTGTCTTTCCCATTAATCTTGGCAAGCAGGTTAGCTGGGGTCAGTAACTGCACCGCATACCTGTGATCAAACACAGATGGGTGAATAATTACATTTCAGCGCATCACAGTGAACTGAATATATGTAGGGGTGGGAGATTTGTTAGGGAACACACAGCTCTATCAGTAGTATAAAAAGTCTGCAAGACCCTCCAGCACATACATTCCTTAAAGAGAAAAGAGGAGGATCACCACTCTCTTTCTTTAAAAAGTTAGCAGTCTTCCTAATAGACATTACTGGATGGGAAAGAGATGTCTCACTTTCAAGAGCGAGTTATCCTACAGTGTTTTTAGACCCAGTCAGACTCAAAAGAAAAGCCAACTTTGCTCAACTTACCTTAAGGTTGTCTTGGTACCGATTTCCCCTAAATGGTTTAGAGCTTCTTCACTAATATTAATTCCTTCTGTCTGAGCACGAAGTTTTATGATCTGTTGGGATGAATGAGGAAGTGAGGTACCAGCCCAAACAATTAGCATGCTAAATGATTTAGTTTAGGATCTGGAAACTCTGTCAGCTTACAGATGAGATATTATAAAACAAGATGGTGTGGAGAGGCAGCCTAGCGCGACTTTCCGCTAAACCAGAATTTGTAGAATTCTAAGTCTTTAATAGGCAAATATAAAGTTGAAAAACTGATTATCTCAAAAGGCAGGTAAAGTAACACATCTAGAACACTAACCCTTCCTAATTCTGCATGGCTAGCAAAGTATATCTACTAATAAGGAGCAGAATATGAGAACTTATACAAGAAAACAGAAAAAAGTATGTGGGAAGTCTGGAGTCTTGTGGACAGCTACCCCAGTGACTAAATTTTGCAGTGTATCAGTGCCGCTATACAGTGGAGCCCTCCAAAACCCCTACAGAAAGCTACGCCCTTTCCTTAGCAGTTCCCAACACACTTTTTATTCAACTGACAAGAAGATAGTAAAATAAATCAAAAAGTTACTTCCTATGATTCACCTATTCCTGCAAAAACAAAAAAAATCACTAAGAAAAATCTAATCTTTCAAGAACAGTCTCAGGCTTGTACCAGTTTGAAGATCTTTACAAAGTTGGAGAGCAAGATATCACCAATAAGCCCGAGCATATAAAGCTGTAACAAAAGTGGCACAAGTCTCTCGGTAGTCCGTATTACCAGCTGAGTGATAAGGGGCAGACTGGATAATGATGTTGTGTTGTAGTGCTGAGATAACTCTGGAACTGCAAGCCTCATATAATACAGGTATTTTTCACTTTGGCAGCTTTGTAAACAAGATATCAAGAAGCACTCGTTTAAATTAAAGCCATAAAAATGCGCTGGGGGAGTCAAGGCAGGGAACAGAGTAAAAGAGAGAGGCTTGAGATGGCAGAAAGTTGTGCTAAGCTATTAATGCTGAATATTGGCAATGCTGCTGCAAACTTCAATTTCAGACTGAATATTTTTTCTGTCTTTCAGATCACCTAAACACCGCCTTCCCTTCATTCAAATACTGCTATTTTATTCTTCCCCTGCTAGAAACAAAGTATCTCGAATGCCATATCTTTAACAACCTTTTTGTAAATAACTTTATCTAGCAACTTGGTTGAACCTTACTGAAGGACTAGGGCCCCAAGACATTAACCCAGCAAACACATACATAAGTAAGTTGCTATGAAAGAGGAAATGCAGTTCAGGTAAAACACGCTAGGAACAAACAGTCCCAGTTATAACCTCTACTATCTAACAGCAGGCACGTACGCAAAGAAGTTTGATTACAACATTACCTGACTACAATATGCATAAAAGTGAATTTTCTCCCTATTCTGGTTGCACTAAGGTCACTGTGGGTCTTGCTCTCAGAACAGAGCTACACAATGGGATTTCTACTTTATCAGCACAAAAAGAAATATTTTTGAACTGGTTATGAGCAAACTTTCAGTAGATAAATGGGCAGTTCTTGTGCTGATAAACAAATCAATTTTGAAAAGCCAAGGCAAAGAGTCTCACACAGAAACATCAGCAGTGAAAACTTCTTCTTAGCATGGAAGAAAAATGGGAGCAAAAAATAAATGTACGGACGTCTTATTTTTAACCCCTCTCAACTGTATTTAGTTAGAAACTAAACTTCAGCGTAATAGCTCCTCATTCAAAAGCCTTAATTTAAAGAAAGATATTATATATGGGAACGTGATTTATGGGACATAATGTCTGGACTCTATTTTTAGCTTTAGGAAATCTACTGTAAACACTTCCTTTCCCTCACCCTGAGGAGAGTGGAAATCACATCGCTTACCCAGCGCTTCTGAAAATCAACAGTTCAGAAATGAGCTGTCTGACAGTGTATTATCTGCCTGATAATGCAGCACTCTTGGCACGTATTATATATAGCGACCTTAATGAAAAGTAACTCAGAGTATGTGCTCCTACTACCCTAACTACACAAAATTCACATACAGTACAGGGAAGTGCAGAGAACAGTCTTTAACATTCCCAGACGGAGTAAAAGTCATGCTTTAAAATTTGTTTTGTATACAGACAAACCATAATTGCATTATTAAATCACAAGGCTGCTTCTACTGTAATCTGTATCATCAAGCTTCAAAGTGTCCTTTTAGGTACAAAAAAGTTATCTTGAGAATGGCTCACAACAGCCATATATGAAAAGCTCCACAAACCAAGTGAAATGAAGCTTTGCCTCAACGTTTATATTCGATAAATGCCTCGGCTTCACCTTGGCACTTATCCAGCAGCAGGAGACTATTATCTCCTGACATCGCTCTCCTCCATTGACACTATCTCTTAAATAATACAAAGAATTGACATGATAAACCCTAATGTCTTCTGCATTGTGTCACTTCACAGCATTGAGACGCTAATGAGGGGGATCTTTGACACAATGCATCATAATGGTACCCAAGCATTATAATCGATACACAAGACATTGCGATGGCCCCACAGCAAAAGTTTTGGGCATTCAGAAGTGTATCTCTGCAATGCTTATTGTGCTTACATTTCCAAACTTGAGTGGGAGCATGAAAATCCTCCCAGGTTCGGGAGACAGTCCTAGCAGGTTAAAGCTATAGTACAGGGCACAGAGGCTAACATGCAGTGCATGAAGTTGCATCCTTCAATTCTTCTCATTTCTTACGTGGAGGAACAGCCGGAGGTCTGGGACCAAAGGTCCCAAAACGTGACACTTCCTGTCATACCAACTGAAAAAGCACTACCTGCTGGAACTTGCAAAGTCCATGGAAAGCACATCTGTGCAAAAGGTAAGGTCAGCTAACAACTCATACTGTTTCATACAAGTGAGACTTCACTTTCAGCTCTAGGCGTACCAGTACAACTCATCAGTGGGTGGAAAACAGACAGAATTCGCATGCACAGTTTTTACCAGCTTACTGTAAACAGTTGCTAAAGCAGAATGCATTTAGGAAGGGGTAAGCTTTCTGGCACAAACCCCAGTGACCACAAAGTGTCAAACAGCTCTAGAGTAACAGAATGTAAAGAGACACAGCAGTCATCCTGATAGACTGGAACTCCAGAGACTTTTTAGAATTTCTCTTAAAATGCTGTGCATACCTGCTTCATTTCTTGGGGTGTATACAGCATGGTTCGGATAATCATCACTCTATCCAGCAGGTCCAGTGGTATACCATGAGGAGACACTACATCCTCCGTGCCTCTAAAGGAGAAGCCAAACAGAAAGAGATCAGATACCATCCCGAGCTCAGTACATTGATTTTACTAAAATCAGCTGTGACTACATATCTACTAGTTTACAATTCTTGTGTCTTCCCATAGAGGCACACTCCCCAGATAGAGACAGGAAATATTCTAGTCTGAAGTTCATAATAGACAGCCTGAGGGAAACAAATACTATTTCTGGACTTTTTAAAGATGCCACTCAAAAATACTTTGATGAGGTGCTTTCCTTCATGTTTCCCTGCATTGTACCTTACAATACAGTCTTATCTAATGTTTCAAAGTATCTTCCAGCAAAGAACAAATCATTCTTATTAAGTTGTTTAGCAGTATCAGTAGAAATTATATACACTATCATTGCTTTGGAGAACATCCCCTCCTGTTGAGTAAGCCATTACTCTGGTCATTCCTTTCCTCAGTCCCTCCAGTGAGTACTGCAGTGGTTTACACTCCAGGCTTGCAATCCAGCAAATTGAGAAGTGGAGGTCTGTGCATGAAGGACAGAACAGGATCTAGACCAACAATCATTTTATTTGTCTGATGTACAATACCCAACAGAAAAGGCTGCAGACATATCTACCTTTTGTTTTCCAGGACCACCACAATTTGCTGTGAAGTTGAGAGTGAAAGATAGCCAGATTTCATGACATCGATAGAGACTGCAGCTAAAAACAGTGAAGTGCTGGTAGAGAACTACATTTCTAAGTTCAGTGCCAGTGTTCAGGCACTGCAGCTTTGGCCATGGTCTTCCTCAGGAAATGAATCAAAATGCCTTGCAATCATCTGCTGTGCTCTTGAGTGGATGGTGTTCTCTCCTCTGAAGTGATCCCTTCTCTCTTATGAGGTTATAGAATCAACTGTAATTAATTACTTTTTTCCCTGACCCTTTTAAAAGCCATCAGCAGGCAAATCAGAGCATCACTAATTACCTGAACTAGTAGTATACAGTTAAGAGACTGCTTTTAAGGACTTAATTTAGCAATGTTAGATAAACTATTCTATGGAAATTTTCCTTTCTTAAATCAGTCTTTTCATAACAAGATCTGCAGTGAATCCATGCTGACAGAGCTCTATTTACTCCACTTTTACAAGACAGCCTTTTATGTCTTTGCAAAGAAAGCGCTGCAATGTCCACCTTAAATGTTTTTGAAGGGCGTATCACCTTAACTTCTAAGCAAGGCAAGCAGAGAAAGATTAATACCAGATGAGCCACCAAGAAGGAAAGGAATAGCTGGTTACACAGCTGAATTAAATCAATTTAAAGAGTAGCAATCATTGCTAATGACAGGTTGTTTAAACAAAATTAGACCTAGACCACAAATTAGCAGTAGAACTTAAGAACTTTTACTGAATGTGCACAGGATGCATTGTGTGGGTGCAAAATATTGAATTGGAGGCACGAACTGGAGTGGAGATGAAAAACAAGTTAGTTGGCAAGACTGATGAATCACAGAGCCAGACCAACACAGTCGGAAATAACAAAGAGTAGGAAGAGGCTCAACTGTGACATGCTTTGAGGTTTGCATTTTAGAGGTTTGTAGCCCTGTCCAAGCAACAGATGTGTTGGGGTATCCAATGAGAAAGGTGATTGTAACAGATTGTCCAGGAAATAAAGATAATTCAGAAGCTGTTAAAGAATGCGTCACTGGAAATGGAAGGAGGAATTCCATTCTGCTTTAACTCGGTCAGCCTGTCCCATCATGAAGCTCACAAGCAGTTCTTGAGCACTGGTGCATCTCGTAACCCAGGGATTATCACAGATGTCAATATCTGAGACAAAAGCCTTGAAATACAGTAACTCTGCTGATACAGCCAATTGCAAGGTGTATGGACCAACACAAACTGGAAAATTCAAGTTCAGCCATCATACCTGATAACGCAGTTTCCTCGATTGGAAGCAAAGATGACAATGGGAGAAATGGAAGATTCCAGTGCTCGGTGCAGGTATGTGAAACATTCAATATCCAGCATGTGAACTTCATCTACAAAGAGTACACCTGGGACTAGCTCTGCAATGCCTTGATCAATGTATTTATTTACCACCTTATTTATCTCTCCTCGAAGTTTCTCTGAGAACAAAAAGAAACTGTTAGTTGTTCTGCTAGTGAACTGTAGCTCTGTATAAAAGACTTAAAGCAAGTAAAATTTTCCTTGAATTTTTTCATGGTTTGGTATCCTACTACCACGAGGAACATCTCTGTGGCACTAAAATTCTGTGGCAATCAGTCCTGTGTTGGGAAGACATCTGTGCAACAAAATATTTCTAAACTGAACTTCTCACACTTTGCTGAGGTAGTCTGTCCCCTCACTTGGCTTACGAAAAGCAAAGAAAAAATATAGGGCTATATAAATTTCTGTGAACATACGGATCTCAAAGCTATGCAAGATGTTACATGGATAAATCTGACATTAGAATAAGCAAAGTGACCTCTGGAACAGACAAAATACTTCAAAAGACCGCCATTCAAGTGAGGGACTGAAATGGATTTTGATCTAGATTTAGATAGTCACTTACGGAAACATCATTTCTTTCAAATAAAAAAAAAAGAATAGATCTTTCTGTAGATCATTTTTCTCCAATGAACTGTAGGTAGGAGGAGTAGCAGTGCACTTCAGAGCATCAAGTCAATAGACAACTGTTACTGAGGTGTCTAAACTGAACCAAGGTTCGAGTTTTTAGAAGCTGTTTTTCTACTCCACAGAAATACAGTGTGGTTGCTTCATGTAAGCATGTATCCCAACAACCTTTTTTACTTTATATTGTTGTTCAGTTTGGCTCTTTCTCAAAGTGTGAACTTCACACTCTCTGGTAGAAGTGTTTTAGGAGGGTGATGGCACTAGCCTTCTAACCTCTTTCTCCCCAGGAAGAGACGTGCAGAGTATAGTACACATTTTATCACTCTATGTGTGAACCAATAACACCTTGCATTGTTTCCAGCCACTGCAATTCTAGCAGCTTTATCACTGCTCTTTGAAATCTATTTATGAAGAAATATTACGTAGGCATTCATTTAGAGATGCTGAATGAATAACCCTATTGTTAATCATTTCCTAACTGGGAAACATATAGTTTATGTTGCTCTAAAAATACCAGGCAGAAGTCATACCAGTAATTTCAGTTTTCTTAGGCTTCATCAATTGTCCCATCATAGAAAGGATGTCTTGCCCACCCTAGGAAAAGAAGGTTACAGATCAGCTATGAGGTGTCGTAGTGAACACATACCATGAGAATTTTGTAAATCAGGAATTAGTTAAAGAAGTTGTTTCTTGCAGTTAACTCGCTATTTTATATCATCAGTGGTTGCTAACCTGTCAAAGGTTAAGTCACTTTAACTGCAGCAGAATTCTAAACATAATCATATAGCTACTTTATCACACTTTCTTTAGGCTTGCTCATTTGGAGAACATAAAAAACCAAAATGAGATATCCTCTTTTGAAAAAAAATGAAGACAGAGAAGCTCATAAGGACTAAAATTGTCAGGGAACACAGAGACTTGTATTGCCTACATACATGGTAAGTGTTCAACCTGTAAACACAGGAATAATTATGCTGAGTTTAAAGAGATTTTAACACACTGATTTTTATAATGTAAATGATTTTGTTGGAAAAAGGATGTTCATTTTGAAATGGAGTATGTTAAGGGCTTGTAGTATCACACTATAGGGATGCCAGCGTTTAAACAAGGATACCATCTTGTTAGTGGCTTTTCTTTATGACACAGATGAAATTCCCTCAGTACTGGGTTTACGCTAAGAAACGGAAAGGAGGAATTATCTTATTTTCGATATTTTGCTGCAACATGTTCATAGCTCTACTGAAAGTCACAAGGAAATTTAACAAGAGGTTATGAAACATTTCTAAAGGAAGAGGGGACACCAACAGTATCCACAGCAGTGAAAAATACTTAGTCACCTTTTTATCATAGTGACTGCAGTTTCCATTTTATGGCCACAAAACCATAAACACAGAGAATAATATTTAATCTGCATCAGAGTTTTCAGTAAATAAGATCATGCAGATCTGGCTGCTGCTACCTTATATCTGTAGGCAACTTTCCTTCTGGAGGGAAAGTAACCTATTTTCCTGGTCAAGAGGAGCAGCTCGTACTGCTCTTTTCTGCAGGTGACAGGGTACAGTGGTAGAAGGAAGGAGTTAGATCTAGGTTACACATTAACTATGAAGGTTCAGATCCCAGATATCTGTGTGGAAGCTCTGCTATGGCTGTAAGGCTGTCCTGTGTAGTGTTAGGACTATTACTGACAAATATTCCATGACCAGGTGCATGAATCCCAATACAGCAACTGCCTCTTTAACCTGTATGGTAGGGCCACTGAGGCAGCCAACTGCAGCACAACCTCCCTGAAGAGAGGAGAGGTAGACTGGCTTTCACAGTGACTGCTTTTCCTACAGCGGAATCTTTGAGGGTGATACAGGACAGCTCAACTTTATGTATCTCCTTGCTTATTCTAGTAACCATTACATCTATGTCAAACAATTTTTCTGTAAAGACTTCATCTGTGGAGTCAGATACCTGAGGTCGAGCATTGGCCACATCCAAATCATGCAGGGTGACATCCTGAATAATTTCCTTTTTCTTGTGCACATCACCCTTTGGCAAGGGAACATATTCTTCAGCTTCAAGGTCAAATTCCGTAGCATAGATATCACACCTGCCTTGCCTCTGAGCAAAAGCAAAGAGGAGAAATCCAGGTATAGAATTAGTTTCAGTGCCAAAACCTTGAGTGACATGAACTTGATAAAGATAAAGGGCTTAGTTCACAATTCCAGTCCTGACAAGCTTCAGCTGACAATTCAGACATCCCACTCCCTGCTTAGCAACAGGCATATTCTATCTACTGATCAAAGCTCAAAAACTCTTGTTGAAAAACACCTGGTAATTTCAGCGGTAAGAATATTCCACTCTTCTCTCCCCGTCTGTTAACCGTATGCAATTCTTGCTAAAGGACAAATCCAGCAGATTAACTAAAGATTGGGAGAACTGTTCAAGACTCCTTTGTAGGTGGGTGATTTATTATATGATACAAAATATTATGCTCATCCATTAAACAGTAAGTATCACTGTACACTACTTTCTAAATCAGATATGAAAAGAATGCTAACTAATGCAGTATTCCCTTCAACATGTATATATCTTGTGGAGAAAATACCAAAGCGATAAAAGAAAGATTAAATACACTGCACATGTCAGCCTGAAAATGACTAAAGTTGCTTGGTTCTCCCCCCTTCCCTTAAAGATGTCTTGATTTTACAGAAAAAAAACCTCATCCAGACAGCATCAGTGATAGCTTCCTCGCCAGATGACCTTAATTGTGAACCAGATGACCACATTCTTTCAGCGCAAGAGAGAATTTTCTCTCCAGATAAGGAAAACACTGGGCTTTTTTTAAAATTTCCATGTATCCATTTAGTGTCAGTTAAGGTTAATAAATCAGACAGCCTTCTGATGAAGGCAGAGGAAGGTCTGCAAGAATACATACACCTGCATTGAAGTGCAGAACTTTTCTTTTACCTTGACGGCTCCACTGTTTGCTTCAATATAAATAACGTCACCAGTTTCCACTCGCTCCTTCTGCAAGCTTTCAAATATGCTTGGGTCCAGCTGGAGAGAAGCAAACATCACAGTTGGTAAAAACACTTCCATATTATTATGGTAATCAGGGAAAAGAAATTTAGTCTAAAGCTCACTCCCACCAGACAAAATTAAACTGCAACTCCAACAATACCTCCAGGATTTTATAAAGCTGTAACACCTGGAGTAGCAATACAGAATAAATCTGAAAAAGATGCACAGAACTTACTTTCTTACAAAAAAAAAATCTGCTATCTGAAGGAAGTGAAAGTACCAGAAACATAATGACAATGATACCAATTACTGTAACAAGATATGCCTTTTTGTAATGTGACAATATATCTGTACCTAGGAAGCAGCACTTCTCTTGCTTTCAAGCAAAACTTCTATAAAAAATCTGGCTATAGCACTGAATTATGCTACTTGATTTCTTGAGTCTTTATCCTCAATGGAGCTGTGTGAGGGAGAGTGTATGTGGAATTTGTTAGATGCTTTTGTTTCTCTCAGTACATGTTTATTCACTCTTGCTCTGCATTTTCTTGTTCTCAGAGTGAACAAATGCAAGTTGATACTTAACAACAGAGACAGCTTTCAGTTCTCTCATACTCTGACAGGGAAATTGAACGATGTGGACAGAGACTTATACAAGAAAACAAAGGGAAAGTGGGTCTGAGCTGGCAACATACCAGCTCAATTTCCAGTTCTCTATCAAATATTCACTAGAGCGCATCTCCCTGTGTAGAAAGAACAATTTACACCGTAGCAGGCAAGATTTCCCAAAACCATCCTCAAAATGTTGGTTGAGGATCAGGAAAACAAACACAATCAAGAACGTTCTCTTATGTTTATTACTGTGAACATAAGTTTATAGCCAGGGTCAAAGTGAGCGTATCACAGCCTGAGGCAGATCACAGGTCAGATTCCCAACTGAGCCCATTTTTCTGTGTTACTAGTAATGCTGCAAAACTGCATCAGAATCTTTTCCTGCTTAAACTTGCCTTTAACTTGTTGAAGACATAGAAGCGCGTGTGCTGCCAAACAGAAAAATAACGGGCTGCTAACTGAGTGATAGGTTTATCCCCAATTTCAGCTAGTAGGAGACAAGACTAGCTTCTAAATATTCTACATAAAGCAGATAAACATACACACTCACGAGTAGGATAAAGTTGTCTGGCAAAAGAAAACAGCCTCCTGGCATCCTCACTCTACAGAGATGGGCATCAAGAGCTTGAAATGGAAATAAGTGCTAAAACTGTATGATGCAGACGCGAAATATTTTGGAAACAAAATTTTGAGACACTACCATACATACCTTCAACTGTTTGGTTCCCTTTGCAGTTTTGAGTCCTATAATTACATGGCTGATGGTTTTGCCATACCCACCCATAGGATTTTCAGTCTCGCATGGAGTTAGTTCTGTGACTTCTCCTTCATAAACCTCCTTGGTCTCTTTAATCCTCAACCCTGCAAGAAACAGTTTAGAATAGTTTCTGTACACAAATCAATGGCCACATACACTCAGGAGTCTGCTGCATTACTGCCAACAGAATGTAACATATTATCAGGCTACATTACATTTAATGGTATTTTTTACTTTTAAAAGTAGAAAGATGAATTATTGTTCTCTTCTTCAATATTGAGAATATTCATCCTGTGTCATAAGAGTGAAAGTTCAGTTCAAGTTCTGACCTGCAAAGCAATTTATTAAACTCTAAGAAATTATTTTATTCTGTTTCTTATTATTAGATCTTGAAGCAGATGTCAGTATCCTCTTTTCCCTCCCCCAAAGAGGGGATTTGCTTGATTTGTTCCCCTATGTTAAAGTCTGAGAAACAGATCATCTTCTGAAACTAGTGACACTAATATAACCTCTAGTTTTACACAACTTTCTGGACCATCAGAAAAGCCCTGCAAAGTAAAGACAGAAGAAAAAAAGTAACTTCATAAAAACCTTTACATTTTAGCTACTGAGTTAAAAATAACATAAATTAATTAGCAGGTATTGTGGTAGAACCTCATAAAATTAAGAAAAGGTTAACGTATTATTTAAAATATTTTTTAAGCTAATAGCAAAAGGTAAGCTAGATGAAATTTAGCAGAAACTGCTATAATGCAGATTTAAAGCTATTTCAAAATAGCTGACAATTATATCCTTACTTTGTTGTTTTTGAGACAGCTGAGCAATCATCACAGTACCTGCGTGTCTTCTATTCTAGTCACAACTATTGTAATTAACTAAGTTACTTTAAATTGATGAACAATATAGAACTGATGAGTTTTACGGTTAGACCATTCCGAAGAAAAACTACCATCATCACCACCACCACTACAATTACACATACGTTCTAACTACATAAAAGTTCAAAGAACCCACATCTGAAGAGACTCTATAAAGTATTTTATGAGACACACATGCCATACCAAAAATAATGAATGGGCTGTAACAAGATATAAGGAAGTCATCCTGCCCAGTCTCAGGCTGTTAGGACTTTATAAAACTTTCCTTGTTCCATAACTTTTCATTTTGCTTTGAAATAGATCAGACACTTCACCAGTAATCTTGAGCTGCTGATAGGGGAATATAAAGAACTGACAAATACGAGTCTGTCTCCCTCTACTGGAGCCAAATTGAGAGTAGGATTTGGAATGTAAGAAATAGGTTAATAGTGGATAACGTGTGAATTTCTTGGTAAGAAATGTTTGCTTTCTTTTATTTAGCACTGCATAAAAAGTTCTATATAAAGTTAATTTCAGTAATTTTAAGTTGTTTTTTTTCAGGTATGCCAAAACGTCAGACAAAAAACCTAATGAACCTTTGAGTTATAAAACTGACCTAGACAGGGCTGCATCACATAGGCTACATATGCAAGGGATGTGAAGCAATGTGAGAATATTTTACTGGTTTTACCAGCAGCAAAACAGCTGGTGCCAAGAACTGGACAGTGACAAGTTTGGTTTTCCTTTTTGTTTTATTTTATACTTTCAGCATGAGCACTATTCTGCTCTGAAAAACTGGAAGCCCATTCGTGTTAGGGGTATATTTTGCATGGTGCTGAAGCACATTTTCCAGTTTAATTTCATCTCAAACCAATCCAATTCATACTCTGAGAGTCTGCTCCACAACACAAACCAAAGCTGAGCCAGGAGGATGATTTGCTTCAAAAGCACGCCTCTAATCTAAACTAATGTGCTTATATAGATGTATCTGTAGAAAACATTTACAAATGAACATGATCTGAACAAAGTAATTGATGCTTTGAACTTGCTGCTGATTATCCTTTGTTTTCAAATGAATCTGCATGTATCATCTACAAACTTCATTCTCAAAGGAGTTCTTAAACAGAGACATCTCCTACTTACAAATCAGACACGTGAGTCTAAGGCCATTGTGGGCTATTTTTTGGTTCAGTAGCACTATATGGAGTTAAATAGTGCTTGTGTGATTTACTGGCAGTTGCAATTTGGAGACTCAGTGAACAGATATCCTATTTAAATGGCTATTTCCAGCAGTTACTTTTTACAGCAACTGAGCTCTAACATTAGGTACTGTCATCATATTTGCCAGCTGCTAATAAGCTCTATACAGGATTAATCTCAGCTGAAATTTTTTTTAACCCAAACAACAATTCCATCTTCTTATTTTGCGCTCTGTCCTTTTATGTTTCTTACATATTATAAACTCTCTACTATACCCCAAGCAGTACTTGGCCATGAGACTAGTCAAGTCTGTTATTAAAAGACTTTCAACAATAACAATTCTGTAAACTCAGAGTCACTCCTGTTTCCTTATACAGTGATGGGTCCAAATGATTCAGACCCTGTTGTTTCTCGGGGTGGGGGGAAGTAAAAAATTGATGTTAACATCGTTTTTATAAATTGAAGTGGCTAAAGCCCCTGAAAGTGCATAATAGCATAATATAAGCAACAGATGATGTATACAGAACCTGCTAACAAGAAATCATATAAAATAAACCCCAACAAAAAAACAACCCTAAATGGATACTTCAGGTACTGACTGACATGTGAGCTGAAGCTTTTCTTGCACCCAGTCACAGCTGACACTGCACTGTGGCTAAAAAATATTTTTTTTTAAAATGCACCCTTGTAAATGATTTATTTACCAAGCAAGGAAACTAAAACATAACTGAGATTTAAAGACAATCAGAAAGTGTTCCATTATGAGAAATGATGGTTACCAGTCCTTTAAAATACTTCAGAGATTTCTTTTTTTATGCTGATAAAAATATGCAATAAAGGTTGTGTTAGGAAAATGTGACATGGAATTCAACAGAAAGGAATAAAAGAAGTTCCATCTTTCATTAACACTAATATTTGTTTAGAAGTGTGTCACTGTTGATGTTCAAGGAATGCAGAGAACTAACAATGTAGCTGGCTGTTAAAGCTCAGAGAGTTAAAATACTGCTATCTCTAGAAATGACAACATGGATGGCATAAGTTTCATCTGTTGGTTCAGGTTTCCAAATCTCTGACAGGGAACTTCATCACATCAAGGAAATTCTGCAGACTACTGAGTCTCTGGCTTCCCTCCCCCAGGCCCTGCCAGATTCATGGTAACCAGAAGACCAGAGGCTACTGAGAGTTGGTTTCTTATAAAAGTCAATGGAATACTTCTGTTTCACTGCAGAACTGAAAGACTTCTTCACCTTACTGCCACCAAATACGCAGATGAAGTCCAAGGAGAAACACGGTACAGAAACCAGGAAAATTAACTGTTAATGTGTTCAGCACTAAAATCAGCTAGGCTATCTTTAGTCAATCCTCACACAAACAAGGGCCACTTCTAACTGCATTTATCAGCTGTCAGCAGTGATCCTATAAGAGATTTTAGATACTCGGTGAGGTTATGTTGCAAATTTAACCAATTTACATCAAGCTTGTAAAAGCACGCTGGAAGTGAGGAAGACATTAAGTGAAAGCATTTATTTTGTTGGCATGGAACTTCCTTTGCGCTCGCTGGAACAGCAAATCAGGCTAACGCTGCCACTTGAGAGTCCCTAATTAAGACTGTTTGCTTAGTACGGTGAAATCACTGAAATAAAAACAGAGAGCGCACTTTCCTGTCTACAAGTGTTTCTGCTAAGGTAAGAAGCTAAAAATAATTTTCCTTTCAGCCTTATTCAGAGGCGCAGGTGAAACCAGGAGATTAACCTGGAGAATGAGAAATGACTCTGTGGAAGTAGAATAAACCATAACACAACCACTGAGTAACTGTTTATAAACAGAAAATATTACTGACTCCATTAAGTGTGGAAGAGATTCACTAAATTAGGAACAGCACTGAAAAAAAGAACATACAATAAGCTGAAAACCACCATGACCACTGAAAAGCTTTTCCTTTTTTGACGACTGGGAAAAAGGAAAGCAAATATCATGCAAATACTGAATGCCTCTGTTTTTCTGAAACTTACCAATTGCACGTCTGAAGTTTTCCATCAGAACTTCTGTTTTCTTGATCTCAGTGGAATAGACCTCACTTCCAACCATAGGACAAAAGGGAACTTTACTTCCCAGTTCCTGAGCAATAGCTAAAGCCAAAGCAGTCTAAACAGAAAAGCAGTCAAAAACACCAAAACCCAGACATTAATTTTTATGGGAATTAACAAAGGATTCTTTCTGCACAAAGTTCTGCACCTTCCACACATCAGCTATCTATTTAACATTAAGATTGTTCTGTCTGAGATTTCTCACATATAACAACCCTCAAGTTAGACACATATAAAGTGACTTTGATCAAAGACTTACAAAGTCTTACAAAGACACCTTAAAGAAAAAATACCAAGCATTTGAATTTGACATCTGACACAAATTTGACATCTGACACAAATGCAAAAAGCCTTAAATAGCACGGGGAAAAAAATAAACTAAGCAAAAACTATTTAGGCATTTAATAGAAAATGAATAATTCTAAGAAATTCTAAAATATGAATTCTAAGACTTTTCAGAGACCACATGACCTATGTGTTTGGTAACCCTCAAGACGTGGTTTCACACTGATGATGCCTGAACACACCTCTGATAGAAAATTAATAATTCAAAGAAATTCTAAAATATGAATTCTAAGACTCCTCTTCAGAGGCCACATGACCTATGTGTTTGGTAACCCTCAAGACGTGGTTTCACACTGATGATGCCTGAACACACCTCTGGATACTGCTAATGTTGATGACATGGCAAAAATCAAAAGTTAAAGCAGGAACGCATGTCAATACATTGATTAACAAAAAATCCAGTATATGGAAGCATTATTTAAGCGCTATCCTAAAACAGTCTTGACAAGAAATTAAAATAAAAGAGATTTGAGACTGCTTTGTTTCATATCAAAACAGAAAATACCTTGCCAGTTCCAGGAGGTCCTGCCAACAGCACAGCTCTGCCAGCCATCTTCTTGCTTTTGATTAGTTCCACTATAACCCCACAAGCCTACAAGTTAAGTATTTACACTGTTAACACGGGTATTGTTATAATATCTTTTGTTCCAGTATTACTAAAAGTGTTTAGAAATGTTTGGTTTTGTGAGCCCACTAAAATTAAAGAGGATTTCTCATCTAGATGATCTCCAGAGGTCCCTTTCAACCCCTACCATTCTGTGATTCAACTTCATGCACACAAAAAGGGAGGCAAGATCAGAAACATCTACTTCCTACAATCATTTTACGTGACAGACGTTGAAAAAAAACCTCATCCCACAGACAACCAAACTCAACCTAAGAGCACAGACTCCTTTCCTTCTTCTGGAATTGGAAGTATATATAAAGGTTTGAAAATAAAGCAGGAAAATAATCTTCGGCTATCTGACGGACAGATCAGCTACAGCACCCACCCAGGGCCAGATGCTGGACGGGAACGGACACTCTCAAGCCTACTTGCACTAAATCTTTTGACTTTTGGTAGGATTCATTACCTTCCATACCACAATTTCTACGCCTAAAACGCGGGAGACTGCTGCCTGCCGCCAGCTAAGGCAAAAATAGCGGCGAAAGGAGGAGCCTTGATTCTCCCATCACTTCTCAAGCAGCGCCAGAGCACACGGAGGAGCCCAGGCAAAGACTTCCACTCACTGACGGGACTTGTAAGAACACCCAGCACAGACCGGACCTGGGCCCCAGGGCCCCTAAGGCTCCCACCTCAGCAGGGGTGCAGGCTGCAGAGGCCCAGGGGAGCCCAGCCGGGCCCCGCC